CACGTACATTCGTGAGTGGGGTCAAGGACCTGATAAAGCTTCTCACTTTTATGGGATCGGGTCGTTCGCCTCGGCAGGATTATCTACCACACTCTTATGGGATCGGGCCATTCGGCTCGGCCAGATTATGTACCACACTCTTCTGGGATCGGGTCGTTCGCCTCGGCAGGATTATGTACTACACTCTTATGGGATCGGGTCGTTCGCCTCGGCAGGATTATGTACCACATTCTTATGAGATCATGCCTTCGCCTCGGCAGTATCATGTAACACATTCTTATGGGATATGGCTGTTTGCTTCAGCATTTCTATAAACCATTCTTAAGGGATCGGGCCGTTCGCCTCGGCAGTATCATGTATCACAATCCTATGGGATCGGGCCGTTCACCTCGGCAACTTCATTAAACATGATAAAGGATGAAAAGTGCATATTTTGAGTGTGTTTGTGTGTAATTCTTGTCTGATTTTCGGGAGTTCACACCGCTTTTGAAGTGAAAATATGCTCATTACGTGTTCTTATGCGTAAGAACAAACTTATGCGGAAAAGGATCAAATAGAAGAAAAATTGGTGAAAACAAGAGCTGAAGAGAAAAGTCCCGGACAACGAAGCGAGGTTCACTTCGCCAGACCGGGACCAGAGCAGAAGAAACCAGCTTCTCTAATCCGAAATAGGAGAAAGAAAATCAGCCCCACACAAATCCTCGTCGCTATAAATACATCTTAAAACGTGATTTTGGGAGGGGAGACACTACTTTGGAAAGAGAGAACACTTTGGGGAGGCAAGAACACACTAGGAGCAAGAAGGAGGTGGATTCAACTTCACGTTTTCCCCTCTTTCTTCCTTTATTTTCATTATTGGTTATGAATTCTGTTATTGTAGTTTTGCATACTATTATGAATAGCTAATTTGTTATCTAGGGTTTTTATAGAATCTTTTGAAGGATGAATTCTTGTTATGTTTTTATATAATTGAGTCGTTGGATTTCTCTACTTGTTCAACTACGTGTTTGTTGTTGTTGATTGAATGACCATCAATTAACTGTTCCTATTTAGTGTGTACTGCTCGAGAGAGAGTACGCATTTAGGTAGTTGTTGAACAAAATCACTCCTAACGCATGTAAAGATCAATACGGAGGGTTTAAAGGCGGGATTAGAGACAACGAAACCTTAGTGCTATCGTAGTGAGCGGTGAATTAGTGCCAGCTAGTGTAGTTCGAGAGAATACATCTAGTAAATTGTGATAGTTGGTCGAGAGAGAATTATGACAACCAAAGTACTCACGATCGATAGAGAATAATTAGGAAACATTATAGAAGACAAGAGGGAAGGATTCCGACAATTGGGAAAATTATAACTCTAGACCTCCTTAATCTTGTCTCCAACCTTTAGTAACTTTAGTTCTTAAATCACTCCTTTAATTTGTTAGTTATTTAGTTTAAATTAAGAATCTTTATATTTATAACTTAGGAATTATTTGATCTTATCTTCTTCGTGATAGTAAACAGTTGTAGCTAAATCTTAGTTCTCTCTGGGATTCGACTCCAGACTCTTAGACCTGATTATATTTGCAGCGACCACTTAGTCCTTTTTATAAGGCATAGTTGGGCGTGATCAAAATACTCTTGTGGGATCGGGCCGTTCGCCTCGACAGAATCGTGCTTAATATTTGACAAAAAGCCAGTATATCCGTGAGTTTTTCTGAGTTGAGTTGTGATGACCTATCTGGTGGGGACCATATTATATACTCCATTTGAGGAGTAACCGATGTTTGAGGACTTGTATTTACTGTTCATATGAGGATCGTATCATGTACCTATATTGGTTTTCACTGTTTAATTACCATACTTCATACTTGTTTACTTTCTATTGCACTTGATTTATTGGCCACTAGTAAGTGTCGATGTCGACCCCTCGTCACTACTTCTCCGGGATTAGGCTAGATACTTACTGGGTACGCATTAATTTGTGTACTCATGCTACACTTCTGCACTTATTGTGCATGTATATATTTCTAGTGGTCTTTTGGGCGCAAAGGCGCAACTATTGCGGGGAATTCACGGTGAGCTGCATCCCATATTACGATCCGCAGCATAGTGAGTCTTCATTATAATTGTTTACATTATCCTGTCTATCTTGTATTCCAAACAAATGTTGTATTATTATTGTACTTCCTAGTAGATGCTCATGCACTTGTGATACCGGATTTTGGGATGTTCTAGAATTTGTGTAAAGTTGCTTACATTGACACACTTTTACTTTATATTTCATTGAAATTGTGTGTACCTACTATTTTTATTGCATTGATCTCTCTATTTAATAATATTCATGATTTCAAAAGTAATAGAATTAATAATTAAGTTGATAGTTCACTGTTGGCTTGCCTAACGCCGACGTTGGGCGCCATCACAGCATATAGTGGATTTTGGGTCGTGACTGTTACTAGTATTTTAATTGCTTCTAAGTAAACTATGCAATAAAACTTGGAAGGCCAGCATGAGAATGCTTTTTTAATCAAATTGTAAAAAGCATTACTTTATATCGGATACTAGACATTGTATTTGATGAACTCTAGATTCATCCCTCAGCTTTGGCAATGGAAGATAAGATGAAGAAGAAGCAGATGAGAGAAAATGAGCAGTTATGCTCTGTTTCTATTATGTCTCAACCAACGAATGAAAGTATATTTACATTTTATATTATTCTCACTACTTAACCACCTAACTCCTGCTAACTACCTACTAATCACAATACTAATTTATTACATATAATTAGCAGTACACAGCTGTCAATAACACTTGATTCAACACCCCTCCTTAAGCTAATGGTTGAAAGATATCTTTCAGCTTTAGCTTGGACATTAAGTAGTAATGCTGCACTCGACCAGGGCTCTTTGTTAGGAGATCAACATGTTGCTCTTTGGTGGGCACATAGTGTGTTTTGATCAGACCTTGCACTAACTTCTCGCGAACAAAATGATAATCAATGTCAATGTGTTTGGTCCTTTCATGAAATATAGGATTGGCTGCTATTTGAATAGCACCTTTACCGTCATGATTAAGAGTTATAGGTAGCTTAATATCCACTCCTAACTCTTTGAATAGCCTTGTAAGCTATGTGAGTTCAGCAACTGCTGAAGCCATGCTCCTGAATTCTGCTTCTGCAAAGCTTCTAGCAACAGTTTCTTGTTTCTTTGACTTTCATGAAATCAGTGCATCCCCAAACTTCACCAAGTAACCTGTAACTGATCTTCTAGTCTGTAGACATCCTCCCCAATCTGAGTCACAAAAACCATCCAGATTTCCTGCGTCTACAGATGGCATTAGAAGACCAAGTCCTGGAGAACCTCTGATATACCTTACCACTCGCAATGCAGCTTCCATATGTGACTGCTTTGGTTTATGCATGTATTGACTCAGAACCTACACTACATAAGCAATGTCAACTCTAGTCATAGTAAGGTAGAATAATCTGCCTATCAGTCGGTGGTATTTTCCAACATCAGCTAGCAACTTGTCTTCTGTTTCAGAGGAAGACTGACCATGAATGAACCTATCATATTCTTCAGATGTGAGTTTTACATTTGCTTCCAAAGGTGTACCAGCTGATTTTGCACCACTAAGACCCATCTTTGCAATGAGTTCCAAGGCATACTTCCTTTGACTCATCACAATTCCTTTAGAGGATCTAGCAAACTCAATTCCAAGGTAGAATTTTAGTTCACCTAAGTCTTTCATTTTGAACTTCGGTTTCAAATCATTTCTAGTCTGAAAAATCAACCTTTGGCTGTTTCCAGTTACTAGCAAGTCATCCATATAGACAAGTACCACTATTAACTCAGACTCCACTCTACTGGTGAACAATGAATAGTCAAAGTGACTTTGAATGAATCCAAGCTATAGTAAAGCATCTGTTAGCTTCTTATTCCATTGCCTAGGAGCTTGCTTAAGTCCATATAGGGACTTATGGAGTTTGCAGACACTGTGCTTCCCCTCCTGGCTAGCAAACCCTGGATGAACCTCTATGTAAACATCTTCAAGTAAGTCTCCCTGTAGAAAGGCATTGTGCACATCCATTTGAAAGACGGCCCAATGCTTAGCTGCAGCAATGGCTAGAACTGACCTGACTATAACCATTTTGGCTACAGGAGAGAAGGTCTCAGTATAGTCCAACCCCTCCTGATGGCTATACCCTTTGGCTACAAGCCTAGCCTTGTACCTCTCTACTGCACTTGAGGAGGTATATTTGACCTTGAACACCCATTTACATCCAATACGAACTTTCCCAGGAGGTAGATCCACCACTGTCCAGGTGTGATTATCCTCTAAAGATGATATCTCACACTTCATTACCTCAATCCACTTGGAATCTTTGACTGCCTCATTGTAAGTTTTAGGTTCCACAATGACTGAGTAAGCAGCTAATATAGCTCCAAAGGAAGGTGACACATTGGCATAGCTGACACAGTCTAATATAGGATAACAGCAGTGTGCACTTTCTTTGCCAGGAACAATGTAGTCTTTCATCCATATGGGTGGCCTGCTCACCCTAACGGACTTTCTGGTGTCATCCTATGACTCAACACCAGGATCTATGATAGGAGCATCATTGATAGTGGGATCATCAGCAGCAGGATAATCAGTAAGATCATCAGTAGGTGCAAGAGGAATAGAAGGGTCAGATGAATAAGGGGAGGCAACAGAGATAAGAGAAGAGAAAGAAGGGGGAGGTGGTGACTGAGCATCTGCAGGACCAATTGATGAAACAGTATAGATATCTAAAACAGGGAATAAGGTTGAACAGGTAGCACTCAAGTGCTGAAAAGGAAAAACATTCTCCTTAAACACTATATCCCTGCTAATATGAAATTCCTTTGTGTGAAGTCCAAACATCTTATATCCCTTCTGTGTAGCAGAGTAACCAAGAAAGACTACTGGATATGCTCTGGGAGCAAATTTATCAGTTCTTCTAACTGTAGTCATATATCCTAAGCATCCAAAGACTCACATGTGTTGTAAAGAAGGTGAATGCCCAAACATGATCTCAAAAGGGGATTTTTTGTGAAGGACAATTGAAGGGAGTCTGTTAATGATGTATACAGCAGTACTAACACATTCTCCCCAGAACCTTAATGGTACTGAAGCCTGAAATCTGAGTGCTCGAGCAACTTCCAGAATATACCTGTGTCTTCTTTCAGCAACTCTATTTTGTTGTGGAGTGTAGATGCATGAGCTTTGATGTATAATTCCCAGAGATTGTAACAATTCTGACATATGTGAATTGAAGAACTCACACCCATTATCAGATCTGAAAAACTTAACAGATGTTGAGTAGACATTCTTAATCATAGTAAAGAAAGATCTAAGAGCAACAACAACCTCAACTTTAGTAGGTAAAAGGAAGAGCCATGTATACCTAGAACAGTCATCCACCAAGGTCAAGAAATACCTCTTTCTATCATAGGTAGGGACTCTGTAAGGACCCCAAACATCATCATGAATTGTATGAAAGCATGATTTGAATAATGTAGGACTAAGAGAGTAAGGTAGTATTGTTTGTTTAGCTAAAGGACATACTGTACAATGCTTGTCTTTACTACTACATTCAACAGCATGAAATCATGAGAACCATTTAGTTTCTGCAAAGTATCTAGAGGTGCATGACCCAATCTCGTATGCCACAATGATATACTCACTACTTTATTAGGGGCCTTTATTATATTTACAGTATTTATAATGCTACTGACTTTGAGCTTGTAGTGCTACTGACTTCTTTGGAGTAGAGTTGAACACATACAGTCCATCTTCCTCTCTACCAATCCCCCTCACTTGTCCACTGAAGAGCTCCTGGAAAATGAAGAAATCAGGGAAGAACATAACAACTCATCTCATTTTCTTTGTGAGCTTGGACACAGATAGAAGGTTATACTTGAAGTCAGGAATATGCATCACATTAGACACTATTAGGTCCTTAAGAATGGCAACAGACCCTATGTGACTAACATGAGCTACACTACCAGTAGGTAAGTGAACTTTTCCACCTTGGTTACCAATAACTTTGACATTAATCTTCAAGCTAGAATTATTTACCATATGACTTGAAGCCCCTGAATCTACAATCCATTTAGCCAGAATTTTAGTAATATCACCACATAATGGCATACCTGCTGCCATAGCAGAACCACTGCACTCAGGTTGCTTGCCTAGAAGTTGAAGAATCTGGTTGTACTGCTCTTGAGTAAATTGAGGGATTCCAGCTTAGAAGTTCTGACTTGCTTGTTGCACCTGTGAGACTCCTGCAAAGTTAGCAGTAGATCCTGCTTGTACAGGGCCAGTGGAAGTATCAGACATATAGTTGCCATCATTGGTCTGAGCATAATTAACTGTATTACCAAATTCACCCTTTATTTTTGACTTAAAATCTTGTGGATATCCATTCAGTTTGTAACAAGTCTCCCTAGTATGACCTTTGAAGTTGTAATAGTGACAATGTAGATTGTTTCTTATGGACCTATAGCCAGAAACTGAGTGATTTCCTGCTCCAGAATGACCATAACTAGCACCTGCATTCCCTTTGCTACTAAACAAGGTTGTCACCTCATTTCCCAAGAAGCTATGATTTTGCCTATGATTTTCTTTTGCATTCAGCTGAACTGGAGCTTCAGATGATGTTCCCTTATTACCGAACAAGATTGTACCTTCATTAACTTCAGAAACTTGAGAGGATTGGGACAGTGCTCTTCTGCTTTCTTCAGAAATAATCATTGAGTAAGCTTTGTTTATTGAAGGTCTAGGAGACATGTTCAAAATCTGATTGCTTGATTGAGAGTATGTCTAATTTAGACCTATGATAAACTGCAACAGCCTTTGGTACTCAAAGTGCTCAACATATTTCTTCGACTCTTCATAACCACACCCAGGGCAGGGCATAAGAGCATCAAACTCTGCCCACAACTCCTTCAATTTTGAGAAGTAAGCAGACACATATGACAATCCTTGAGCCAGAGTTGCAATTTGTTTATGCAGATATAACACTCTAGAACCATTAACTTTATCAAATGTCTCTTTGAGGTCCATCCCCACTTTGTGAGCACTCGAAGCATAGACCATGCCACTTAGCAATTCAGCACTCACAGAGTTCATAATCCACGATAGGACTATAGCATTACATTTTTCCCAGAGTTCATGAAGAATAGGAGGAAACTATTCTTTTGTATACCTTCCATCTACAAACCCTAGCTTACTCTTACCTAGCAGAGTAACGCGCATAGTACTATTCCACAAAGTGTAATTCTCAGGTCCTGTGAGCTTGACAGAGATGAGAGAACAACCTGGAGTATCACTCGGTTGCAGAAATAATGGATGATGTTGATCGATCACTGGTGCTACAGCTACAGCTTCGGGAGTCGATCCATTGTCCTCGTCAGTAATCGCCATTGTCAACAGAAATCTAGCTCACACAAATGTTGTACTCAACAGATACCAATTCCTCAAAATCGATCTAACCCTAATTATTTTTGGGAATCGAAGCGATTGATCAATTCGAATGAGTAATTAACATTGAAAATTAAGGAAGATGAATCTGGAGTTGAACTCGAGTGATATAGATCGTTAACTGAGGCTCTGATACCATGATGAACTCTAGATTCATCCCTCAGCTATGGCGATGGAAGCTAAGATGATGAAGAAGCAGATGAGAGCAAATGAGCAGTTATGCTCTATTTCTATTATGTCTCAACCAACGAATGAAAGTATATTTACATTTTATATTATTCTCACTACTTAACCACCTAACTCCTGCTAACTACCTACTAATCACAATACTAATTTATTACATATAATTAGTTGTACACAGCTGTCAATAGCATTTGATTCAACAGTATTTCTGAATCGGTTTAATGTTTATTTGTTTTAGTAAAAAATAGTTGGAATTGATCTTTCTGTGCAACAATTGTTTGGAACTGGAGCATTTGGATTTTGGAGCAACTTCATCAGCATCAGTACTTGCAACTTCTTTTGGAAATTCAATGTCTTTTGGCGGTAAGAACTTGAATATAACTAGATGATTTCAGTTTCTTAGTGATTTTGGAATCAGTATTTTTATGCTTTGTATTGGCAATGTTAAATTTCATGAGTCATGTTGAAGAGTCAATTAGAAAACTCAAAAGTTATTTCTACTTTTTTGAGCTATTTTTTCCGTGAATTTTGATAATATGGCCATAAAAATTCTTTCCTTTAACAAAAGGTAAACAATATCCGGTCGAGTTATATAGTACACATGGTATGCAATAAAAAACTTCAAATGTGGTTATTTATATTTATCAAATTTGATTGCGAAATTAGGAAAGAATTATGTAGGGATCTTTTTTTCTTTATCTTATTGCTAAGGAGTTCTTGTGGTGGCAGAAAAATTGGTAGGAAAAGGCTGTCCCGATAAAGTTACAGCTAAATTTAAGCAGAGGCCTCCATCTTATTCTCTGGCACTATTCCAATATTCAAAAGCTTTAAGAAGTTTAATGTTTTAAAATAATATGTTATTTTGGTTAATTACATCCATATCTCCAGAAAGTTTTTGCATTAGAAGCGTAGTGACTGTGAGCTTTAGTAATGTGCTTCAGTCATACAATAGTAGTTCTTGCTTGAGCTTCTATCAGCGTATAATGATAATGCTGCACTTTTCAAATTAATGATAGTGCTTTGTTTTATATATGATATTGTGTTTTGTGATTTAAGATCCTCACATTTTAGTAGGAAGAAACAAAAATTTATATTCTAGGAAATTCCTATTCCAGAGAAGCCAACATAGAGATGGGATTAGAGCTAAGTCGTGGGTGAAAGAGAGTGGGATTTATACTACACCATCAGTTTATCTTCCTTTCTTTTGTTTTTGTTTGCTTATATATTTAACTTTTTTCTTAATATTTTGACTGTTCAAGTGTAATTTTTTTCGTTCAATCTGTTGCTGAGATTTTTTAAAAGTTTTTGAGACATTTTAGTTGTTTAGTACTATATGCAATCTATTTATCTTCTTTTTCTTTATGATATGCCTTGATTTCTTTATTCTCTTCTTTATTTTCCTTTTGCATTATTTCGTTAACCAGAGAACTAATGCTAAAATTCCAATGATAACCTGCAGGGTCGAGATCATTGGAAAAACATTGTGCCCATCAATTTGAAAAGCTTAAAATTCTCAATTATTAGTCACAATTATTTAAACTCACCAAGAGCAACGTACCTCGAGCAGTGATGAATGCAATTCCGAAGATATCATTAGTTGTTTCACTCATGGAGTCATGTTCTATCAGTGGGAACAATTTTAAGCCTTCTTCCCCATTTGTACCAGTGTTGCTGAGGATCGTATGAATAAAATTTCGTAGTTTCCTCAATTTTTTTGTCCCTTTCTCAACTTTTCTATTTATCTTATTGTAAGATAAAAGTCTCAATTGTTATTACTCCAACCTTTTCTATCATGTATAGTGAAAAGTTTTAAAGTCTTCGCCAATATTTCATATCCCTGATAAGATTTTTCAAGTACTGGTCTGTTAATAAATTATTATGCTATTCTTTTTACCACTTTTCCTCATTATTTTCATTCCATTCATGTTTAAAAAACTCAAGTCACTATTAAAGAAACATCCATTTTCCCCCAAAAGTCAAAACCCCTATAATTCTCCTACACTAATGTATGTGCTGATAGTAAATTAATTTCATTATACTTAAAACTTTATTCTGTAGTTATTGTTGCTTGATGGAGTATGTTAGTAATGTAAATTTTATTGTTGAAATGAGGGCAGTTGGGACTATGACTATACTAGGAAGATTGATAAATTATTTTTATCAAATGGGATATTTATGATACTTCTATCCGGTCAAGAAGGAAATGCAAATTACTCTTAATAATAACCTATTACAGCTACTTCATTCTTTTATTCACCTGTTACGTTATTCCAAATTTTCTTCAGCATGGTCTTATAGACAATTAAAATTTTACTATGTTTAAATCCATAATAAATGTGGATTTTACCATATTTTGGTCCAACTAAATATTTTGGACTAGTATAATTGGGTTATTTATTTAAATCTAATTAAACTGATTTAAATAAAAGCCCAATACTACTGGACTAACCCATTTTATTGGTCTACCAAATGGATCGACCCATATAAAGCCCCAAGCCCAATGACCCATGAGGGTTTTCTTGGTGGCTACTCCACCACGTGTCTATATAAAGAGGTCACATCCCTCATTTGAGGGAAGAAGAAATCACAAGGCTGAAATTACAACAATCAAGTAAGCAGAAGGAAAGGCTAAAGAAGCTCTGAAGAATAGCATCAAGGTCTCCATCCACATCTGCAATCTTCGTCTGTGGTCAAATCCCAAAGGCGAACGCAAATCATAAGCGGGCGGCTTCAAATCTTCCGTTCGTGATAACCCAACAACAAATTCTGGTTCGTGACGACCTTCAAGTTGTTTGTGACGCACCACAAATTTCAAATCCGTCAAGTTCAAGATCAAGCTCTTAAGCTCTTGAATTATCGTTCGTGAGGAGAAGAATCAGAGGACTACATCTCTTTACACTACTAGAAATCCGGTAAAAACTAACCAAAAAAAACCGACCAATGTTGGCCGGTAATGGCCAATAACCGACCAAAATACGACCATTTACGTGTGAATGATATTTTAGGGATCGGAAAGGCATACCGACCAAAGTTGGTCGTAAATTACCGACCAACTTTGGTCGGTCAATTATATTCAAAAAAATAATATTGCAAAAAAACCGACCAAAGTTGGTCGGTATTTTAATTATGTAATCAAAAGATTCACCATATGGGAATCGAACCGGGGTGTGTACTGTGACAGGATATTATTGTACCACTAGACCATTGGTGCATTTTATTTTAAGACTGTCTTTTATTTGATTTATACTCTTTAATTATATTTTCGCACGAAAATAACCGACCAAAGTTGATCGGTTTTATTAAAAAGTAAAATTACCGACCAAAGTTGGTCGGTTTTTTAAATGACTGACCAAATTAACCGACCAATTTTGGTCGGTTTTTTTAATATGAATTTTTATTTATTTTAATTGAAAAACCGACCAAAGTTGGTCGGTTTCTTGAATTATAAATTCCGCGGGACTCAAAATAGTTTCCCGCATTTTTGCGCCAAAGAAAACCGACCAAAGTTGGTCGGATTCGTAAAAAAAATTAAAAAATAAATATTTCGAAAAACCGACCAACTTTGGTCGATTTTTTGACCGACCAAAGTTGGTCGGTCGACCTTGGTCGATTTTTGCCGAATTTCTAGTAGTGTTAGATTCGAGATATTCTAGAGATTGTAATCCCATCACTTAAAATTGAATATAATATTTATCGCTATATTTTTTGTCTTGATTATTATTTTTCAGGAATGAAATTTGGTTGTTACAAATTTAGGCACGCCTAGTGGGACGATCTCTACTTCTCATATCTTCTCTTCGAAGTTAAAGAACATCAAGATGGCCTCAATGAAAATCAACCCTATATCTGACTCCAAAAGCGGATTGGAAGTTGCCATGGAGATTGTTAGCCAAATCAAAAGAAGTAAAGCCGAAATAATAGGACAACAAGTGCTTGAAGTGCCATCCACAACTCATGTTTTTGGTTCATCTTCTCCAAAAGAAGTAGGATCATCTCCGTACATGCTATAAGAAGGGAACAACATCGCTGAGGTGGTCGAACAAACTTTGGTGCGATTCAGCCTTTCAAAAGAATGCCATCGCCAGTCCCACAATCCATTCATGCAGAAAGATGATGGTGTCTTG